TACGAACATAAAAATAAATTACTAAAATTTTGATTTTTAAATAAATTTTTATATAACTACACTCGATAATATTTACATACATTTATCAAATAATAAAATTATATTTGTCTGTAATTTAATAATTATTTGAATTTGGATACTTTTTTTACTTTTTCTATCTCTTAACTTAAAGCAAGTTTAATTGCAGTTGACTTGAGTTACAAATTGTATAGCGACTAGAAACGATTTGTTACTAAATAAAAACCAATATAAAAATTTCTATGCTTTATTAGTATTTTTGTTTCTAAAAAACAAATTTTCTTTTTAAATGTCAAATGCGGACGTAATTCAAAGATAATTTCAATCTTTTTGATGCCAACTGTGCGTACACTTGCGGACGGAAAAGTTATAAAATTGTTTTTTCTAGTAAACTGTGGAACCACGTGCCAAAGTCACGAGGACGACCTCAAAGATTTGACGCGTACAAAAATTCATCGAAAGCAAAAGTATTTTACAGACTTCAAATCTACAATAATATAATCTATGGCAGATGATGATGCATTTTTACGCATTCCGTACAAGTTGGCAAATTATGAGAAACGTTGTACATACACATTTCTAGCAATTCATTAGCTTGCATGTAATTCAATCAAGAAATGCAATTTTGAAAACTTAGATTAATTGAATGTTTTTGTTATCTTTTATAACTCTATAAATAAATAGATAAGTTTTACACTCATAATTCCAACTATAACATCGCTGTCAGTCGATGACTATTAATGGGAATCCTTCTATTACATGTTTCAAACTGAAAAACTTACTCTTCTTAAATTCATGTTTCTAAAAAAGAATGAAGATTTGCTGCATTTTTGCATCATGGAAACACATTTCAATTACTCGATATCTTTTAGATTCATTGAAATAAACGTTCGAAACATAATACAAAGTAAATCGCGTCAAATAGTGAGATCGTCCACATGAAGCTACGAGTGAAAAACTAGCAGCAACGTTGAGCTAGCTCGCATACAGTGCGTTTTTCGTTAGAGAGAAGCAGCTGGAATGTGTGCTGTGTGTATGTGAACGACGATCCGTTGTCCTACACGATAAAATGGACATCATCGGTCAATGCAGAGTCTCCTTTCTCGTCTTATCATTCGCACATTGAGATTATAGTCTAACAGTAGTTCTCGTCAATGAACGTTCCCTTTACTTCGCGCGAAATGCGTACTTCCAGTCCTGCAACAGAACGGAAACAAATTTTAAGCCCGACTGCCTTTTAAAAATCGGAAAACTCTCGTGTTTTCAATTATTACCATGGATAATACAGCGTTAAAAATTAAGTGTATAAAAATATATAAATTTAAGAAAGTTCTGAATACATGTAGTACGATAAATTGATAAAAAAAATTATAAATTATGTTAAGACTACTAAATCGTTAATATATTATTTTAAATACAAATCTTAATTCATATTCAAATACAAATGTCAATTAGTAAAAAATTCTTAGTAGTTTTGAACGATAAATTAAATAAATTAATAAAAATTCTGTTAATGACAACTTCCCCAATTCCTAGGAATATTCCGCATTTTGTACGGATTTTTGTTCTTTATTCTTCTGGAATAATTCTAAAATTAATATTAGCGTCAATTCTATTTTAATTGAAGACACAAAATATTAACAGTGCTGAAAGAAGCACACAACATTAAATTAACTAATGAGCATTTATATTTCATCATCACAGTAAGCACACAAAAATCAATTATAATGTACATGTAACGGTGAAACTAATTATGGTACACAATTTATAATTGCTCTGGCATGCAATTCCACATAATAATAAATTTACATTTTACTCCTTCTGCAACTTTCTTGATTACGTAGTTATTGATATTAGTATCCCCATTCTGCTCTAGAGAATATTTATTATATTTAATGGAGAATTAATGCTGAGAATTACATTTATATTCATCATTATTATTACTATGTTTGCAAATTTCACATCAAGTGCAGTCATTAATTGTTGGAAAATGAGAATTGAAAAAGCAAGTGAAGGTCAAGATGTCTTATAAAGGTTACATAAAGATTGTATATTATATGCTAATAACAACCTTTACTTTCAATATGAAATAATTATTTAAAAGAATAAATTGATACAATCTGGTAATTTTTATTCAATATAAAAAATTAATCTTTAAAAGATGTATCATCTTTATCGACTTGCTCCTTCAATATCATCAGGAAATGTTCATTTAAAAGAAATAGATTTGAAATACCTAAGAAAAAAATAAAGTGATGGAAACAATCAAGGACAATCGCAATCAGTTATATTCTGTGCACTAATAACAAAATTCTACATATTTGTCTACAAAAAAAATACGCACCTTATTATTTATCCATGCGTCGTCGGGAGTGATATATTTCCGCTACGTCATCGTCATCCTCATCTTGTACTTCGAATTGCTTTCTCAATATATACTCAAGAACCAAAAGCGAAACAAAAACGACAACGCAAGTTGATCCAAAGAACGAACGGTATAGTTAAGCACAAGTTTTGCGTGCGGAAAAAATTAATGCACAATATTCCATTCATTACCAACATATTACATTATACGTTCTATAACAGCTTTTTCTACGTGCTTTTCTGGCGTTCCAGATCAAATTTTGCAACTGTAGAATCCTTCTATGCTAGAATTGATAAATTAGGACTCAACTATTTCTTTATTTTGGAATATATATACGCAATATATTTATCGAAATATTGTATAATGAAGAAGAAATCAAGAATAAACTGGAGAGTATCCGTTTGAAAATAATTTATTTATTATTTATTAAAGTCTCAAGGCACTACCTTCATCATTTTTAACCTATTAATTTAATCGAGCATAAAATAATCATTAATTTATGTAACAAATTATCCTAGCTAAAATAGAATGTGTGTGTATATTAAGAGTGCTTTATGTCGCTTCATAGAATATATAAAACTCACATCTCTTTCTCGATCGAAATCACATACTCTTGGTACCTCGCAACGCAGAAATCAACAAGAGAAACATTATTTCTTTTTTTCTTTTACATGCACCGTTGAGATCTTACGAGAGATATCGCCTACGTTATTTTTTGCTACCGTTAAATAAATTTCAAATGTAATTCAAATATATTCCGAATATATTTTTAGATTGCAACTTAAGATATGTTCTAACGAAGTTTTCAAATACATTCAATATATATCTGTCCGAATTATATTTGAAATTTATTTTTTTTTATACAATCGTGTAAATATATTTATCGCTGTAAGTAAAATATATCTTTAAGATACAGTAGATTCAAGAATCAAAATTGCTGCAATCTTGTTTCGAGCCGCGTATAAATTGCGATTAAAATACTGCTAAAAACCACGTGGAATTTTAAAAATTGATTTGTTTATAACGGAAAGTATTTGATAAAGTATGTTTCGTGCTGAATATCGATACATGAGATACTTATATAGAATACCAATGCATTGCAAACTTGGGAAAATTTTTTATGAAATAAAATAAAAAATCAGAATACATCGTCTATATTTTTCGATATATTCCAATTTTGATTTAATTTAAAACGTTGGAATATATTTTCCGATAAATTTTTTATAACTTTCCGATTTTTATTTCAATTTATATTATAATAAACACATATATAATTATAATGAATATAAATTGAATAAAACTCGGAATATTTCACATAATTATTTTATAACAATTTTCACATAGTCTTTTTGCTTACTTTATTTATTTTAATCAAGGCCTTTTATTCATTAATATATCTCGTTTCTTTTTTCTTCGCGTTGCTTTGCTAATCTATACTGCACTATATAGTTAAGCAAAGTTGCTAATTGCACGATAATACTACTTTTAAATAAGATGTGCGTATCGAATTTATGGCGAAAAAGAAAGAAAAAAGTAATAGACGTACAAGAAAAGAAGAAAAATTTTTAAATTCAATTCTATAACGTGTAATAAATAAAAAATATAATCACGTGTTTTATTGTGCCTATTAAAATTTTTTTAGCATTACATTTTTCAATTTTTAATAATTTCTAATTGCATTAATTTTTTTATTTTAGTTAAAAGCAACGCGTTGAATATGTTTGATTGTTGCAATCTCTTCGAATGTAAGAATATAATTGAACCGGCTGTAAAATGTCTAGATAGAAAAAGAGAAGTACAGAAAAAAAAATATCAAATTATTATTGGTTATTGACACTTTTGATACAGAAATTTTAATATATTAAATATAAAATTTTAATATATTTTTTTGTATTAAATTTATCAATAAAATATAGTTTCGAACGTTTAACGAATAATTATAATAAACAAATTTCTAATAAAATGCGTAAAAATTGAAAGGCATTGATGATGCCTAACCTGTATTCCAAAGTAGATTAGAATAAAATTCAATATAAGAAAAAAATTCAATACATGAAATCTTTTCGTATATCTTTAATATGCTGTTTAATATTTTTTTCATTTTGTTATCTATATTTTGCATGAGATGAGAGATAAACCGGTCCAGTTATTTCTTACATTAACAATATATGTGAGTAAGCATTTATCTGGAAAGTTAGTTTCACGTAAATGCAATTTATACAAGGTGTTCCAATTAAAACGGTGATTACACCCTGTAATCATATATAATACTAAAATACGTAAAAAAG